GAATTTCATTTATCACGGTAGGGTCTAGAACCGATTAACTGCGATAAACGAGGGTTCACTGTAGAAGAGTTCTCCTCTGCCCTTTGGGTCACTATGAATAGGAATCGACTCAAAGACATTGGGTTATATCTTTTAAAAGATTGACTCAAAAACACACCCTAATCCTACTTTATTAACCTAACAAAGACAACATATGTCCAAATGGAATTAAGGTCACCAACAAAAGGGAGAGGACTTAAAACACATTTTGGGGAGGCACAATTCAAACTAGAACATTGAGAAATTTCTCCCACCCCATAACGCCTGTATTTGCCACTTTCCCCCACCCCCCAACTCCTGTATCTGCCATTTGCAAGACACATTGACCATGTCACATCATCTCAAAATCTTAAATCAACTCCAGTCCCAAACGTGCCTTCTAATGATCTAAATCAAATATGGGTGAGACTTTTGACATATTCCGCCCTGGGGCAAATTCCTCTTTATCTGTGAACCTCTGAAATCTAGATTGCACATTACCTACTTCAAAATTACAAATGGGAGAAATGCACCAAGCAAGTCCAAAATACTGCAAAAACAGTGTACATTCCGTCTCATCTTGTGAGACCATTGAGGCAAGTGTGTGAGTGTGGGTCTTCCTCTCTGGACTCTGGATGGAGGCCAGTCTGCCCTGGGCGTCAGCTCTGCCAGCAGGCCCATTGGTACTACAACTCTGCTCCCTAAATTTGGGGGCCCCATATTCCTATCTGTCTCTCTGGCAGCCCTATTTGGCTCCAACTGCCCCATTCATTTGCCTCTTGGGCATAGTAGCTCCACCTCCTCCTCCAGGTTGGCTGCCTGGCACACCGTAATGGCAGCTCACACTCTGGAACTGAGTTGATCAAGATCCAACTCTTTGAAACTTATAAGGCAGTGGCTCTACCTTTGAAATCCAGGAGACATGCCTGCCATTTGAAACTGAAAAGACCCTGCTCCCCCTATTTCCTCCAATAGTTTCGTTGCTATCCAAGCTGTTCCAGGTATGGTTTTTGTCTTGGGGGACAACAGATGCAGCTCTTTGGGCCTATTAGTTTTCCATAAAACTCAGTGAGGCAGACAGTGTTGGGTGGTGGTGGTGGTGGTGGTGGTGTGTGTGTGTTTCCATTTTGTTCTTTCACTGACCTTTTTAATCTAAGTTTCCTAGTGCAGAGTGGTAGTTGATTAGATCCACCAAGCACAAGCTTAATCTCTTTTACCAAAAGATTGTGACCCATACAGCCTTAGACACATGTCCTTATTTTGTACAACAACATTTTCCAAATTTTATTTTTGTACACTTCATTTTAAAGTCCATCTTTTCCCTCTTAAATAAATTTTACTAGGTGTCATGGAGAAACCACGCAGGCGTTCTTAGAAAGTTCAGCCAAGTCTTAGATCTTGTCTAGGAATCTCAGCCAGATCTCCCAGTCCATCACTTACAAGTTCTCCCTGTCTTCAAATATTTGAACATAATTTAGACATGTTCTTTGCCACTGCATAAAAAGCATCAACCTTTTTCCATTGTCCAATCATATGTTCGTAATTTTCTTGGAAAGCATAGGTTACCAAATGTATTTGACCTGCTTCCTCCTTTCAGGAAAGTTACTCAGAATTCTTCTGGCAATTAAAAACTTTTGTGCTCTATAGCCCATTATCTAGGATACTGTGTAGGTAGCTAGCTGCCTCTGCAGCCCTTTCTTGATCATTCCAGTGCCCCCAGTGGCAGTATCACCCACTTTAGAAAACACCACTGTAAAGCCTCATCAGAATATTTAACACCTACATTTCTAGTAATGTGTTATTGGCACCATATGGTAGAGATTTTCTAAGATGATAAAGCCTTTTTTTTTTTTTAATATCCTCAATTCCTTTTGAGCGTTCACCAAATTTACCTTTGCCCTCTATAATTCTACCAAGGCAACTAGGTTTATACTGTTGGGCAACTTAAAACTTCCAGCTTCTACTCATTACCCAATTTCAAAATTGCTTCCACATTTTAGGTATCTATTAGAACAGCAGCCTCCCAAATTTTGTCTTAGCTATCTATTGCTGCTATAACAGGTACCATAAGTGGGTGGCTTTAGCAACATTTATTCTCTAACAGTTTAGGAGTCTAGAAAAACAAATTCAGGTTGCCCGAGCTAGAAGGCTCTCTCTGTTGGCACTGGAGGAAAGCCCTGCCTCTTCGGAGCTGTTGCCGCTGGGCAGCCTTCCTGTGGTGTGGCATGTGTCTTCCCCCACATCTGCTACCTTGCTTAATCTCATGTATCTCAAGAGACATTGACTCAAGAACATACTACACGAATCCTATTTCATAGCTATAACAAAAAGAACTCATTGATAAATGGTATTGTAGCTAGAGGCATCCAGGCTAGGATTGACAACAAAATGGACCATTTCAGCGGGCGACAATTCAAGCCATAATACACATTACCATTAGTTGCCATAATGTCAACTTCTACTCATGGTGACCCCAGATGTGCCAAGGTAAAACTGGACTTCACAGGACTTTTGATGGTTGACGTTTCAGAAGTACTTATCAGGCCCCTCTTCCACAGTACCTCTGTGTGGTCTTGGATCTCCAATCTTTTGGTCACCAGCCATGTGTACTTAACTGCTTGTCCCACCCAGGGACTCCGATGGAATAGTATTCAGCAACAAGAAGGGGTGAAGTACTGCAACATGAATAAACGTTGAAAACATTATGCTAAGTGAAAGAAGCCAGTCACTAAAGACTCTATACGGTATGAGTCCATTTATGTGAAATGTCCAGAAAATCACAGAGGCAGGATGTAGATGAGTAGTTGCCCGGGGATGGGGGGGTCAGGGGGAGGGCAGGAGGAGAATAGAGAGTGACTCCTAGTGGATACAGAGTTTCTCTTGTGGGGATGATGAAAATAATCTAAGAATATAGTGATGGTTGTACAATTCTGAATCTTCTAAAAACATTGACTTGTACATTTTTGTAGTATGTGAATGTTATCTTAATAAAGCTGTTACAGTAAAAAAGAAAATAGATCATCTAAGCAGAATTATTTCTTTCCCCCAAGACCCTATACTAGAAGGCCAGGGAATCATGATGTGCTTGTGATCATATGAAGTGAGTTTATTCAATAGCTCTGAAACCACATGTGTTAAGTCTTATGACATAAAATATCCCAAACTTAAGTGACTTTTCTTACATCTTTTAAAACAGCCTCAGAAGTATATAAGATAAACTTTATCTTTCCAAATGGAGACAAGTATGGTAAGAATACATTTCAATTACTTTTTCTATACAGACTAAAATTAAGTGGCATTAAGAGTAAAAACCAACAACAAAACCTCATTTTATTAAAACTACTAACAAGATATTAAATCTTTTCTATATTACGTCTTTTAGATTAACTTAGAAATACTAATAGATGAACAGATTTTAAAATCCAAGCTCCAGTGATAAGTGCAGACCGATCATGCCTTGGAAATCTAGAGGAGCTGTCAGTTTTCCTGGTCCTTGGGTCTGGATGGCTGCATGAGCTCGAGGCCCAGGGATCTCGCTGTGCTCTCATTGGTCTCTCTTCTAGGGGCCCTATGAGATCCACAGGGTGTCGGTGTGAGTAGACTTAGAGATAAATCCTGCATTACTTGTCATTGTTCCCGGATAGTCTCTCCATTTCAGTGTTTCTCTCGTTAAGATGGTGACTGTACAAGAACATCTTCTGGAATCTTTGAGAGAAATGGAATCGGGATTCATACCACCCCTAATGGGATTATTTATACAGGAAGCTGGAAAGATGACAAGGTAGTACTATTTTTATTATTGACAATAGAGAAGTAACCATTTTGGGTGTTCCCAGATAGTTTTTCCATTAATTAAAATCTACAATTATACATTACTATTTATAATAGAATTAATTCATTTTTATATCTAATTTGTTTTAAATGAGTAATATTAAATTTATACAGAAAATTCATCACCATCATTTTTCTCTCCCATTTACTGAGTAAAGCTAAACCCATTATATCATTTTCCATTTAATCTTCAGAATCTCATAGGTAAGAATCACTGTTGTATACTGTCCAATTGATTGAATTCAAAGCAATCCTTTACTTAATGACATTAATTCTCCTGCTCAAATGAGGCAATTCAGACTCAGGGCCCTTGGCTAACTACCAAAGATCAACTAAACCCACTCAATGGAGTCAATTCTGACTCAGTGTCTTGCCTAGCTCATAAGCAATAGAATCAGAATGTGCATCCAGGTCAGCATGAATCCGAATCTGCCATCTTAACAAGTACTTGTATTGTTTCCTGAACTAACTGAAGTGGTTGCCCTTTAAATTTTGAATACTCAAAGTATCTCAAGGACTACTATTATCATCTTCCTGGACCCTCTAAATATTCATGTTTATTGAATGAGCTTCATAAGTAGATACACTTGAAGGACAATGACTAAAGCATTGTTTTTGCTTTTTGGAACTCAAGGGTGATATAATGGTAGCATAAATAATTAACTTTGTAGATTAACTCCTATACTTGTGTTTGTAGTCCCATTTTGTTGTGTTAATGAAGCAGGGTTAGTATAGAATGTGTTTTCCATCTGTGTCTTTTGAGATCCGTGTTTCCCCGAAAGTAAGACATCCCCCGAACATAAGATCTGCTTACAGTTTTGCCTCTCACTGAAATATAAGGCACCTCCGAAAATAAGACCTCCCCCAAAATAAGG